TCGGAAATTCATAAATTCATATGATTGAAAATAGTTAATATGGAAAATATATAGTTATGCTTTAGTTATCCATGCACAATGCAATCAATCAAGTGAGACTATATACCGCTAAAAGATTGTGTTCTAAACTGGCTCGTTTTACAGCGGATAAACTTTTTACAGAGACTGTCGCGCGACAACCACCTTAAACCCTTGAAATACAATAGCAATTTCCATTACAATTTTTAATAAACACCAGTGCTGATTGTTACAAGTTCATGGAACTCGCTGTCATTGACGTCTTCATTTGACTTTTTTTTATTACTAGTCGGGCGCCTCAACTACTTTGCATGTCGTCAAAACTAATCGGTACAATATTGATAAAGAAATTCAATATTTAATAGTTATTTTACCATTATTTTTTCCTCCCTGCTATTTTGGAGTCTATATTTGGTGAGTTTGTATATGAAAATGAAATACATGAGAATTTGCAAGGATAACAAAGGTTATTATCGATTTTATTTCAACGAAATTACTATTTTTGTAAGATGTACGCGTGAAATTCGACCCTTTGTCATGGATGACTTTTGGTAAAATCGATGGAATGATGAAATTTAAACGATATTGTAAATACTGCAATAGTTAGCAATAAACATGAATTTTAGAGCGTGACATAACGATAAAAAATGGAACCAACTTCAATCATTCTCAAAAATTCCAACTAAGTCAAATATGATTAATGCCATTTCACAGAACGGAAAATGTTCTTTGAAATTATATATAAATATTTTTATGCATGTACTTTGAAATGATGCAAAAGTTGAACCAAGTTTGAAATTTAGGCGAAACCCTAAAATTCAATTATCGCGTTCAAAACGCCATAAATCAATGAAAAATAGTCAGAATCATATAACTCCCGTATTTTCTCGAAGTTCTCTTAATGAGCTTGAAAATGAGTATTCAATATATTATCTCAATGCGAAAGCATCAGAAAATAATTATCCCAACAGGCGAAAAAAGCAAAAGAAAGCGTTATACGGACACGCATCATTTACTTTTTATTATTGATATTAATAGTTTCGGTTCAATTTAGTTTTTAATACTCAATTGTATAATATTGTAATAATACATGATAATGATACGAGTATGAATATTTTTTTTGTCGGCAGGATTAGGGGATAGTCCGAATTTTTATTCCGGACGAATTACATTCCTCTCACTATTCTTCTGGGCCCTTCTCCTCTATCAATTTTATTCAGCAAGTATTGTTAGTTCCTTGATGACACCTCCGCCACGATGGATTAAAGGCATCAAAGATCTCACTGAAAGTGAAGTTGAAGTAGGCGCCAGGGACCATCCATATTTTCATAATTATTTCGAGGTATATATTTCACAACAACCCACTCCCATGGAAAATTGAAAACCGATTACATATAACATATTCTATGTACCACTTTTACGTCTATCACTCTAATCCCATTATATCCAAAATTATAAAAAGATATAATGAATTTTATCGTAGAAAATGACTGATCCTGACTGCATTGAATTATACAACCGAAAGATGAAATTTCCGTCGAAAAATCCAAACGGCTTTCTTCCGGTGGAGACGGGCTTCAAAAAAGTACAAGCGGGTGGATATGCATTCATCACTGAAAGCGCTGTGACGTACCAGATTTTACATGTAAAAACGCTTTAGACTTTGTCAATTTAATACTGCTAGAATTTTTTGAAATTTCATAGATTATATTTCATCTCCCGATTTGGGTCAATCCATCTGCGGTATTCGTGGTCACATGATACTTTTCTTGCCGTCCTTGAGTGAGTTTTTAAAGAATAATGAAGGCGAAAGGTAACCCTTAGGATGCGATAAATCGTTCAGATTTCGAAAGATTATGGAATAAAAGTAGTTTGGGAACGCGATGTATGGAACAAAGTGCTAAAGCACCCCATGAAGGGTTAGGAGTATAATTGGGGTACAAAGAAAAGTATTTATTCCAATTAAAATGTTTTTAAACCAAAATTAAGGGTTACATATTTTACCAAGAAGTCGGAAAAAGGAAGTAAAGATTGAGTAAGCGGAAAAGAGAGGAACGACTAAAATAAAAAAAGGAAAAATTGAATGTGAGACTTACAATGATGTTTTTCGAATGGTACGGATGAGTCGTTTAGTATCGTGTTAATCGGTGCGGGCGATTCGGAGGATCTTGAGGAGGTGAACGTATATTCCCTGGCGAGTTGAATCTGGAGATCTTGAACTGATTAGTATATCTTCTCGGATGTGCAGATCTTGACCTGGTGAAGGTATCTTCTTAGGTCAGTTGGATGAGTGTTCGCTGATAAATTGAACGTGAAGATGGTGTTGCTAGGCAGAGGTGCACTGGTAAAGCCCTGGAGACAACAACTGAGATTTTAGAAGATCGAAGTTTTAAATAAGACTGACACGATGATCACCGTGGGTTCGGGGTTTTATAAGTTATGTCTTGGGTATCTGCATGCTATGTGGGGGTTATCGAGGTAAAAAAAAAATCCTCGATCGTTGAGCTTGCTTTGATTGTGTTGGTTCGTTTTGATGCTCTTAGAGCTCACCAAGCGAGCTTTCGGTCCGCGGTGGCTCTTCCTCGTTTAAAGACGTTTTCTGAACTTTTCTGAGAATCCGTCAATATCCAATTGGTCAGTCGTTATCAGCATCAGAAGAGATTTCGTTCATGAGTAAAGGTCCCTTGATTTTGGAATTATTTCATATTTTTCAGTGCTAGAAGATCTCTTTTTCTCGCAGCGAAGATGCACAGAAGTCCAGACTTATTCGGTAGCGGTGGGTGCGTTTTTAAACCTTTTTCTGAAAGGGCAGTTCGCATTCTCCTTCAGGTCGTAGGTCAGTCGGATCGGCCGACGTTGTGCACGTGCAGTGAGATTACCGTGAAATTTATTGAGGATGATATCCAAGTCTTTTTTTTTCTATGATATTCGGCGGTGGGCATCCAGCGGAGTCCGTCTATTCATTGTTTCCTTCTTCCTTCTTTTAAAGAAATGCGTAGCCTATTTATTCATTTTTGAGACGTGCGATTAGCGACACTTTTACACGAGTGTTGCTCTGATTATTTCTTTCAATTTGATTTTAGTTAATCAAGGTGCAGTATTTAATCTGATAGACAGCCCGCGCGCGAGGAAAACTTATATGTTCGGAAATATATGTTAATTATATCCGAATATACGTCGCATATATATTCCGCTAAAAACTGCATTATCTGAGATATAATTTGGATATATCCATGCAGATATATCTCGTAGGTCACATTGAAGATATATGAAAAAAGCAAGTTGGATATATTTAAGACGTAATTCTGGCAAAAAAATTATATCTCTGTTATAATTCTTGAACTATATATTTATCGAACCGATAATTTTCCTGTAGCCTGTCGATTATATTTCAAAAATTTGACTGATATCGCTTAAATATGAATGAACCCTCCCATCCTGTGCGAATATAGGAATATAAATGAATATAAATGAAAAAAATTATATCTCCCACATACCGATATACACATATCGAAATTCATACTCCAATATAGAACATCTAAATTGATTTGGTGGATTTATTCTAGTCATTTATCTCAACTTTCGGAGTGTAGATATATCTATGGTCTATAGGATACGTTTTCGGAGGATGAGATCTGCGGACTGCAGGAAATAAGAGTCGGTAGACCTCGATGGCTGGCGCCAATCTTACCCAAAGGTTCACCATTCAAAAAAATGATCGTGTACGGGTGAGTGTCAATAGGAATTATTATCAAAGAGAAAGATAACAAGAGTATATTTTTTAATTCACAGATTGCGAAAAATCGTACAGTCTGGATTATTGAATCGCTTACAAAAAATTTGGCGTGCCTCTCGTCCACAGTGCCCTGAAAATTACAACAGTAAACCAACTCCGATGGGCATGTCAGAATTTAATCCCGCACTAATTCTTTTGTGCATCGGTATGGTGATTTCTATAGCAACGTTCATAATGGAGTACTTGTATTTTTGCCTAGAAAACCGATTATACTCAGTTAGAATGAATGCAGAGGGACATGCACAGCAGCTTAATGATCATAACATCGAAGTCTTCAACTAATGCAGAATATTTCGAATTTGCCGACACAAGTTCATGAGCTTACTTAGAATGTTGAGTACATATTAGGTGTTCTATTTCAAATAAGCCAGTCGTTGGTCCTCTCCGTTTCAAACACAAATTTCTTAATTTTTTTATTTTTATAGGAGAAAATAGAAATAAAATAAGTCTAAGGCGATTGCGATATTCCACAGGGGAAGAAAAGATTTTAGAATGAAAATATTTATGAACATATTATAATATATATTATTATCAAATTTTGATTTCTGTTTTTCTACGGATTGAATGACTAATTGAAACTATCTACCAAATATTTTTAATTCTTTTAGTTTTTATTCTCTTAGTTGAGACGTTAAAAATCCAATAAATATGAAAAAAATATATTTTTGAGTGAGTAATCGACCACTGGTTAAATTGGCATGAAATACCTCATGTGTTAATATACAGGCACTGAAAATCTGTAATAATAGTCTAATTGACATATCGCGAATACTATGCTGATTATAATCAGAGAAGTATCCTGATAGTTTATTCATTATTTTGCTCTAATCATTCTTCAATAGAATAGAATATTTCTTAGGATAGTTTTCCGCATAATCCTTTTGAAAGTCAATAAAAAATAATCGAAAGAAAAAAAATAATCGATTAATTTTTTCAAGAAAGTTTAAAAACATTCTCCAATTACGGTGAATTTTCTGATGTATTATTCTATCAATTCTCAGATATAATTGATATCTCATAATACTTTCTTAGGGAAAATTCTAATTTACTAAAATATATTTTATTGAAACGAATAATTTTTATTATTCGCTCCAACTATTATTAGTCTAATTATTTAATTCTACTCTACATCTCAACTCACCTGATCTGAGAAAGGTATCAAGGTCTGAAGTATTCCAGTGCTCAACTGTACTCTCATGGTAGACTCACTGGAATTGTGTAGAAGCTTCTTAAAATATTTATGCACTCGCAATATTTCGATATATAATATATTCATCACAAACTGCGATAGCACGAGCCCAATAAATTTCCAGGAAGTGCAGAAATTTAGAGATTTGAGCCATTGAGATGAATGAACTTCTCTCGGGAAGTCGACTAGAGAGATTCTCATGGCAATGTGTAAAATCACATTGAAATAACTCCCTTCAGAGACCTTCTAGGCTGAGCACTTCAAAATAACGTACCCCTTCAAAGCCCAACATGTAATTACCTTTAAACTCCAGGAAATCCGTGAGAGTCTGCGATTGGAAATATAATGAGGGTATAATCATTCCCGGATATGCCATTCGATCCGATTTGCATAACGTATCAGCGGCATTTTCCAGAATCGAGTGCGTACTTTACAATTTCACAGAGAGTTTACTGATGATACTATGGGCTTATGGACAGTACTTCTATCTTCAGTGATTGTGAGTCAGTGCGTGCAATCAGATCCAATTCTCGAATATTTCATTCGAGATTATTTTAATACCGAAAATATTCACCATATCAATGTTTTCGGGTGTTGGGATGACATGCGTAAGTTCATTACCACTTGAATTACAGTTTTACTTGACATTTTTATTTGTTATCAAATGCTTTTTCAAAGTGATTCACATGAATTTCATCGTTGCAAGTTATGTTTCTATTTCTTCACAGATCTAATGCAATGATCTTCGATACTTTCAGGTGCGTTGGAATTTTCTCGCAATGTAATGAATTTAGATAATGCTGTTTCGTACAATCCAATATCATCACAGTTAAACCTACCCGGAATTTTGAAAGTAAATTACTATTATGTCGGAGTAGTTTTGGATTACGATTGCCCTATGAGTGACTTCTTAATCAATAAGGTTTGCAATTGCTCGTCCATTAAAAAAAGCACTCTCACGTTTTTCGTTACCAATTGATTTGGAGTTACGTTGAAATTTAGAATAATATATTTTGATACGAACCTGGGAAAGTGTTTTTGGGCTCGTGCAAAATTTATAACCCTATTCGAAAGCGAGTAATATAATCCCACTAGTCTAAAAAACACTTTCATCACAATATGTGTGGAAAGTGGAGTTTTGCATACGCTGAGCGTGCGTCAAATGTCACTTTACACAGATTGTGTCGAAAAACTAAATACATTATTCAATTTAATAATTGTTTAATTTGTTTTAAATATATATCGGTGGATATATAACACATAATATAGATGTTTTTTTACTATTTTATATTTTTTATATTATTGTAAGCTCAGAGAAAGTAGTAATTTATGTCATAAGACCTGAAAATTCTTTTTCTGATAAATGTAATCGTAATGGACGCCGGAGGTTTATTTTTTATTTAAAAAAAATGCCAAGAATTTTTAAATCTTATTGACAGGATCATCTTAGAGAGTGATACAATTGTCACAATTGAGAACTCCTTTAGATCCTCAGATTAGATAGAGAAAAACCTCAACTAGAGAAAAATATATTTTTTGCCAAGACCTGATTTCTTTGTAGTCCCTTTGTTTCCATGACATCCGTGCGAAAATGCCTCTTTCACTTTTAAAATTCATGATATTCGAGTCTATGTTTTATTTTTCAAATCGAAAAACTAACAGCTATTCCATTCTTTCAGTTTTCCACAGAACTGAGATTCAATGAGTCTTACTTCTGGCTGTTACTCACTAATTCCTCATCGCCACCGGAAAATCTATTACGAAAACTGCCACTTACTGTTGAGTCTGAGCTAACGGTTGCGACATTCAGAGACGATAAGTTTGAGTTGTGGGATGCGTACAATCCGAGTTATTCCCATGGAGGTGTTTTGAATATCACATACAAAGGCAGTTGGGATGTCCAGAATGGGTTGAAGAACGAATTGACACAGTACAAATACGAGAGACGTTGTAATTTCCATCTGCTACCACTTAATTGGTCCACTGTTGTACGTACACTTTCTTTCTACAATACACAGTACGATTCTATCCTCTTTTGGTCTGTAGTTGACGTAACTTGGTCAAGTTACTTTTTCTGGATCACCTTTTGCCAAAAATCGATTGTCCAGTAATTCAGAGTCCGCGCGACAACGCGTTACCACATTTTTTCTAAACTTTTAAATAGTAGGATTACAAAATAGGAAGACATGCAGAGCCATTAAATAATCACAAAATTAAGAACATTATATTTTTTCACGTCATTACCATTGATAATTAGCCAGAAAAATGAAAAAAAATGGAATTTTCATTCAAACTTTCCTTTTCCGTTACAAAATCGATGTTGATCTTCAAAAGAGCGATCATGACTCGAATTATTCTGAATTATTAACTGCTTCATCATTAATTTAAAAATTAAAAAAATTCAAAAAATCATTAAACAATGGTATGCAACAGATCATGACTAGTTCTTTGTTAGCTGAGAGAGCGATCAAACACTGATCTTCAAACTTATCTCGAGACACCTGTTAATCGACACTTGGATACTATGTCTCGATATCATTACGCGCTCGTGATGCAGTTGCGAGACTTGTTTAATTTTTCGTAAGTACTACTGAAATTTAAAAAAATCATCTTTTGCCTCGATGTTAATATGAAATCAAAAAACGCAGTGATTAAAAAATTAATGAAAATCCATGGCCGAAAGATATGCTTCAGATGTTTTTGAAAAAATATTTAAAAAGGTGACATCACATTTTCCGTTTTTATTGTGCCTGGAAAATATGACGGTCATATAACCGTCACATGACATTCTTTCGTTAGATATAATTATGACGGTCATTAATTTTTTTCTCACTCTTTCTTGTCATAATAATTCGATGTTTTGATTTATCACTAGAACACATTTGTTTATTTTGAAAACATTTGTATATCTTATAATATTATATAATATAATATGGAATTACTTAGAGCAATTTTTATGGCTGCCTGTTTGAAAAATCTGTTTATCTATTTATCTATCTAGACAGTTTGTCAATAAGCTTATCGCTCGTTTCTCATCACTCAGAGTCAGTAAAAATACAAGAAATTACATTTCTGGTGATGGTTAATTAATATCAGTGGAGATACTGTGGATTGCCATCTTATTGTCATCTGTATCCCCGTAATCTGACCGTCACTGACACCTCATATGACACATCAGGTCATCTTTTTACATCCCTGGATAAAACTGACGGGTTTATCTTATCGATTGTTTTCTCAGAATAAATCTCCAAGTCTACCACACCTGGGGCTACTTGATTAACGGAAGCTTTGGTGGCTTATTGGGTGCTTTGATTGAGGGACAGACAGATGCCAGTGTCTCATCTTTTCAGTACAAGCCAGAGAGGATGGATGTCGTCGATTACCTCGTTGAAACCATGAACGTGCAACTTCGTTTCTTCTTCCGTCACCCCAGGAGTAATGATCTACAGAATAATTTCTTGAAGCCCTTCGCTATTCATCTTTGGTGGCTGATAATAGCCGTTGGATTTTTCTACTGGATAATCCTGACGGCTCTCAAAAAATTAGAGATAATCTACGAGAATGTGGAAATTAATGAAAATACTATCTCTGCTACTGCCTTGACTACAATCGCTGCAATCACGCAGCAAGGTAATTCATTAAATTTATCCTTATGGGACATTATCTAGCGCAATGAAATTTAATTTTTATGCTTACTCAAATACGCGTGATCCATTTTTCATTGAATTGGAGCAGCCATAAAATTTTCGGTAATCAATAGGATTGAGCACTGCACCGGTGATAACTTCTGGTCGCGTTGTATTTTTATCGCTATTCCTGTGGACTCTTCTCTTATTCCAATTTTACTCAGCAAGTATTGTTGGCTCTTTATTGGCACCCCCGTCGAGATGGATAACGACTTTGGATAATCTCACGGATAGTAATATCGAATGTATAATCGAGGATATGCCATACATGGTCGATTACTTTGCGGTAAGTTATCAAACGAGATATTTTGCGCTTCATTAAACATCACAATTCCTTTTGAAAACTTTGTATCAATTAATATTCAGTTTGACAGAATTTTCTAAATTTTGGTTTTTATGATTATCAAACAAGCGATAATTTTACAGGAATTCTAGGGCATTTTTTCATTCGCAGTTTACAGATTTTGCGTAAAAATGTACTAGAACTGTAATCTTCAGTGATTCATTCATTCATTCATTTTTTGCTTCAGTGGTTAATTCTGTTTAATCTTTCAAAAAATCTAGCATTTTTTTGTAGCTTTGATCATTTGAATTTAAGAGGTAATACGTAATTTTTTAGACTACAGCGAATCCTCATAGCAAAGCAATGTTTCAACGGAAGATCAGACCGACTAATAAAAAACCAAAGGGTAGTTACATGCCTGCAGCCGAGGGACTGCAACGTGTCCGTGAAGGTGGAGTTGCATTCCACATAAATGTCGCCACGGGTTACAAAATGATCGAGGTACAATCGAAATTACGCAATTACCATAATTCCCTAATCGCTTTACAACAATGACCAAGAAATAATACTCTCCTGAGTCATAGTATTTTCATCAAAGTTCAAATCTTCCGGAGACTAAACAATAATCGAGAAATATAGCATTTTGCTTTCGAATGAAACTATCATATATATCATGAAAAAGCAATTGTCTACTAGTTTTCTTACTTCAAATGATTGTAAATTAATAAAAATGTTGGGGATCAACTAAATGAGTAACTAATGAGGAGAAGCCACGGGAATTTTTTCCAAATTTTATGATAATTTTTCTTTCACATGATTATCTATGGTTTTCTCTTTTAGGATACATTCAAGGAAAATGAAATCTGCGAATTACAAGAGATTGACATGGTTGGTCAGTGTTTAACATCCATGGTGACACCGAAGAAATCACCATTCAACGAAATGTTCACATGGGGGTAAAATCTACAGCTGACGCTTCCATTATTTTCTCTTTTCAAAAAAAGCATGTAACCTTTTTCGTCACGCGTTTTCAATCGCGCCTGATTAATTCATTCGCGACATTTATTCTCTTGGATTCAGTGCAACGTATGAACTCTCCCCCTTTTCAGAAAATTGGTGGTTCTATTCCAAATATTGAATATATCTCCTTGTCATAGATAGAGGGCAGATGCAGATTTCTTCTCTGAATGATAATAATCCAGTGCTTTTTTTTCTTTAGGATAAGAAAGGCCGTGGAGAGTGGTCTGACCAAAAGACTTGATAAAGTTTGGCAGCATCAGTGTCCACAATGTCCAGAGAGCTACAGTTCGAAGCCCACGCCAGTATCTCTGCAGCAGTTCAGTCCAGCTATTTTTCTTTTACTTCTAGGATTCGGTTTATCTATTTTAATATTGATAATCGAATATTTGCACTACTGGAAGTGGAGCGATTACCTTGTCAATGTTGAGGACATGAATTGCAGTGAGAACACAGATGATATCGGAAGACCACCCCACACTGTCGATGGTTTCCACTTTACCGACGAGGGAGAACAAGTCATTTACTGACTGCATATGGATAAATGAGATCATCAACGCCATTTGCTTGGCAAAAGTCAAGGCATCGAAACTCAAATATTCAGGAACTGCCGATTTTCTTCTGAGAAAAATTACAGTTGTTTGTGTATTTAATATTCACAAATCATTGACAATCGGTAGAGGCAGATTTCTGTTTACTCAGTGGCTGCGGATATTGATCCGTTACCTGCAGCATAAAACATTGAATTATTCATGATGTACGATTTTTTTGTAGAGTGAAGGCTACCTTCGTCATGATTTGAATTAAAGGACTTTGGAATATCCATATTTGCAAACAGCACGCGCATTCAATGATTATTTCGATGGATGTTGTTTCAACTATTCATTTTAATGAAAAGTTCGATCAATGGCATGTATTATAATTTAATTAAAAAAAAACAGAATCATTTGCACAGATTATTCTCCAGACTTGTATAGTTTGAATTATGAAATTCATTGGCTAATCCTAAGTTTAATGAAGAAGATTGCAATATTCAGGAATTGCGAAAGTCCTTTAATAAATCTTCAGGAAAAACTAAACTCGTGAATTTTTCAATCTTCCGTTATTTTTCAACGTTTAAAGGCACAACTGGGCGAAAGATGTTTAAAGTTTGAGTAATGAAATTATTGCAGAATATTAGATGAGTTAATAAATAGAAATCTAGTAAATATGTTTAATGAAAGACTTGAAGGAATTTCACAAAAAAATTGATAAAAATATCGCGGTGTCCATACATGTGAAAGGATATTCGCATCGAAGGGTGAAGTGAACTATCTCAATGTTTACTGAAATATCCAAACGCTCAACATCTCTGCCAAACAAGACTTGTTGAATGTTCTAATCTCCACCCACTCCTCCCAATCTGGCTAGTCCCAATATACCCAACGTCACCCGCCCACCATCATCTCCATTACGTCAATCCTCCGGATGATTTCTCCATTGCCACAATAATAAAAAATAGTTACCAGTCTAGGTGACGGGCAGAAGTCCATTGAAATTATTTATACCCCCGGCAAAGAACCAACGCTCGATGACCCGCTACACGTCTAGCGTCAATAATCGATCTGCTCTTTTTTTCAATCTATTTAAAAAATACAAGGCTTATAATATTTGAAGCGCGCTGTTAGAAATAAATTGAAATTTTATGCTAATAGACTGGCGCTTGAAAAATATATGGAATTGTTTTTTTGAAGGAAAAAAAATACCAAAAATTTGAATGAATTTACCGTATTTTGAGTTTAGTTTTTTATGAAAAAGTGGAACCCAAGGATGAATTCTACCGATTTTTGTAAATTCCGTAATATGATTGAGCCAAATCTACAGTTTCCATTGAATTTTCCATAAATTTTTGAATATCTACGTTCAGATTTATTCCTTTGATTAATTAATTAATTAATTGTTCATTCAACTAATGAGTCCCACAGCTACAGATTCAAATTTTCGCAAAAGTCTATGGATTTTCAATTTTTGGGTCTTTCTGGTTCAGGGATTGGTTTATCTGGCTCAGCTACACTTTGAAGTTTTCAAGGCCACACTTTTTAAACATTCAAATTATATTGAGATTTCGATTTATTATTCACTCACTCATCGTGTCAACAGAAACAGGAGTCAGGGAGGGGACGAAGGCATCCCAGACGATCAGGGGAACCATTCAAGGTTGATGTATAATTAATGATTTAAAATCCCGTCGACACACTTAGAAATTCTCAAAGGCAATGCATTACCATGATTACCGGTGTTTATTTGTCTTTTTATCGATCTTTTCAAGATTTCATGATCCTTCTATCCGGGAACCGAGTAAAACCCTTGATGTGAGTCTATTACCAAATCTTTAAAATTTCTGTCAAGCTACAATATAATAAAACTTTGCATAATCACTCATTTGATTATGGGATAATCAATGATACTCTTCACAAAAGAGTATTATGGATGAGATTGTCAAGTTTTTAGATGTAGTGGAAAATTTAAGGAAAAATGATAAAAAGTATAATCGGTTGAAATCCATCGAATGAATAAGCCCGTGAAAATTCATAATAATTAATGTCGAGCTCTCCATGTACAGAGGATATAGAATGAAATATAAAGCACCTTGTAGAGAAAACCGGTCACACACTTGGTTACAAAGTGTGAGTGGAAAGCATCTCACGTATTTCTCGAGTTACGTGAGATGGGTTTGTTTATTCTCGAATGCATGGCAGCCGCCAGTGATCTCTGGCAAACAATTGATGCATCGGTATTCGTGATGTCTCTTTTGTCCGAATTGTGATGCTCACTCGAGCCTGTGTGAAACCACTTTAAAGTCACTGTTCACGAGAGCTTTCAACAGGCGTTCACCAGGATTAAGAGAAAATCGCTGTTGCATGACCAAATGTCGACCCCAAAAAATTTTGTCTCGGTTAGATCTGGCCGATAATAAAATCGATATAGGAGAAAGCTGGACTGATGGCTTTAGGAAACCGCACTAAAAGGCCAGATTTATGCAGTTAACCAACAGGTAAGTGACAATGAGTGATGAAGTTGGAGCCAAATGAGATGGAAATAAATGAGAAAAAAAAATCCATACGGTCAGTGTCCAGATAGACTAATGATCAGCAAAACCAAATACCTTTTTATTTACATGTCTATTTGAATATTAATCACAACGTTGTTTAATTAATACCTAGGTGATTGTAACTATTATGTATTTATTTGGATGATACGTCGATGAGATAAATCAGGGACTAATGAGTAAGTATTAAAATATGTCGTACATATTTCGATGGAAAAGAAAGTCCAATATTTCCCCATCGAGTTATTTACTATTCGTTAATTTCTTTCCAGAGCAGCCTTAAATAAAAAATTCGGTTATCGCTCTAAATACCATACAATAATAATTATACAGTGAAAAATATAACGAAAAATAACGCAATAAAAAATATTACAATTGGAGAACAACACAGAAAAAATATTTAAAAAATCATGACTTTCATAAAGAAAGGTAAAAGATATCATTCAATCGCAACCATCACACAAACATAGAATAATAAATCACAACAGAATCCCTTAAAGCAGATTGGAATATGAGGGCAAACTACAAAAACAGTAGCAAACAAAAATCAAAGAACTTCAATATATATACTCATCACTTGGGCCGAGCTATCGAAACGATTAGTTGACATCAGTCCGTCAGTAATTTCTATAATAAATCATTTTTCCTGTCCATGATATTTCCAAAATGAGATATTTTCCTCAGTGATATTTAGACGAGGCAATAATACTCCATATGATATTAATATATAATATATTTATACCGTAATATTTACAGCGGTCACCAAAAATTCTATAACAAATTTTCTATAGAAAATTTTCCAACATTTTTAAGACTTAAAAAGTTTATTGTGTTTTTCCATTCATTATGAATTCCAGTTAACCGCAAACATAGATATTACATGAAAATACATCATAGTCGATTATATTATCGTTTGAATTTCACTAAAATACATGACTTCATCAAAAATGGAGAAATCGTTTTTCAAAGATCATGAAATTTGGCATCTCTGGTGGTAGGACTTGGATCATCTGACAGAGTGAAATGAGTAAACAAATTCGTGAAATTCTAGGACAAAAGTCAGAGAGAGTTGAAAAGAGAAGGAAAAGCCGTGTATACTACCCCTTCCTTTATGGATCAATACCACCAACTTCGTGACGCGGATGTGACGTAGTTGGAGGTAAACTGTACGTACGATAGAAGGGCAACATGCTAGGGCACATGCTGATAGGAAGTTGAGGGACCACTGGCCGCGGTTCAAGGACTCTCACCAGTGATTAAGGAAAATGGAGAGGTAAAGCACGAAAAAAAAATAATACTGAAATCACATACATTTTACACTTCATCGTAGTATATTCGATTTTCAATTAACAATTGATTTTCACACGATTCTAATAATAATTATGATTACAACAGGTTCAAGTATATAATATACTTGAAATAATTATATTATTATACTCCCTATTGCCTGCTATTATTATTAGTATTATTAGTATTATTATTTTATATATAAAATATGCTTGATGCTAGTGTTTATTTTCTTCAGCGAAGCGTGTGAATTTACTGCACGTTTGGTCAGACGAACCCATGTAGCTCCCTTTACAGCGCTGTACACCTGCAGATCTACATCAAGATCCTACATTGATAATGCTTTTGATTGAATGCCAGTTCAGCAGTATTTTGCGATCACACCGACCACCAATTGTTAATGCCTTGATTTATCGTTTGGTTCATTTATTTAATGTTGATACTGTCTGTACTGTTGGGGATTTTAGGAATTTTTATGGAAAATGAGGTGATTATTCTATCCACGGTTCAATTTAAAGAAAATGTCATAATGAAACTTATAAATTTGTACAGAGAAAAGAAACTTCGGAATGGCGGCAAAAGATGGATAAATTTTAGATATGGATGGGTTTATATTAATTTTTTTATAATATGATAATGGCAATTCCAATTGTAATTTTGAATTGGTTTTAGAGTCCGCTTTCTTGGAATGGTCTATTGTTTTTTTAATGTCGACCCCGTAATGAACATATAATTCGGAATTTTAATCATTTATTTCGAAAAAAAGGAAAACATAAACCAGAAATTGCCTATTCATAGAAATTAATACTGAAATGCAGTAAAAATAAGAATATTTCCTCTGTATGAATTAATTTTCATTGATTTTCATGGAATAATTGAAAAATTGAGTATTTTTTATTCATTTTCTGATTATCTGACGGTAAAAATAATGCAATTATCGATTTTTAGTGGATATTGGACACGATAAAAATTTCAGATATTCAACCCTGAAAAATAACACGAAAATTTTTAGCAATACGATAAGAAGAAAGTTGTGAGAGGAAATTTCGCGAGAGTCATCTATTAGAACTATGATATCGGAAAATGATTTTCACCACAAATTTTGAATCTTAAAATTTTACAATTGAAAATTCCAGAATTTATCGACAAAAAAAACAATACGCCTAAAAAAAAGGAAAAGAAATTCACATATCTTGTGTTCACCAGATCTCTGTTAAATTCATATAATATTAATTAAAAATTCTATCAAAAATGTTAATTTTTACTCAACATTATATAATTTTACTCAGCCATCTTAAAGTAATTATTGGACTGTCAATTTGCTACTTTGGCACTTTAATTAGTATTCGTTAAGTTAATTTAAAAAATAGCTTTTGTTGTTCAAAACAGCTGGTTAACATCAACACAATTACCCCGCGTCAATCTCAAATAAAATCCGTCCGACATTATGAAATTCCCGTGATTGAATTTTTCTGTCCTATATTCGGGTGTTTAAAAAAAGGTAAAATCCAACTTTTTCGAGGCGAGAAATTACCTTTGGTTACCGCGAGAACTCGTTGATTATACGTCCTCTCAACCCACTTTCTGGGTATACCCGGAGGCATGTTTACGAGTAACCCCTTTCAACGAATTGTCTTTGGTTCTTCCAGCATCCAATTGGCTGCCCTGGGATAAAAGACCTTGCGCGTAGAAAAATAAATCCTAGAGTTGAAAAAAACGAATGATAACGCTCCCCAATACTTCAACTTGGAATGAACTTTCTACCGCATCTTGCATTCGTTCACATCG